CTGTTGGCATAGCGTTGCATAAGGAGCAACGAAGGGTCTCTGGTTAACAATGTTTTAGCGTCAATTTACTTACCGTGGCTGCCATGGAGAGATGAGGGGCGGCTCGGACGGCGGGATCTGAGGCTTCACTAAGCGAGCCATAGCCAACCGGAATCTGTACCGCCTTTGGACATTCTGCAATAGAAATGTATTCCTATAATACGCTTTATTCCATCGTCCGATTATTATTATTATTACTACTATTACAGGCATTGTTTGTTTGGGATGTAAAGATTTCCTTACTGGAAACAACAGTCGTCGTATCAAATATTATTCGTCCACGAATATTATAAACGTCATGACAATTATATATTAGGTTGTCCGAAAAGTGTCTTTCTTTGACAGACACGTCTTTTACAACAACGCATCTTTATACAAACGTGAAACCTAATCAGTCGAACGTTGTGATCTTTATTTTGATAGAACAAAATGGACCATGTAATTCGATGATGTAATATAAAACGGAAAATGTTGTGCACCCATTATTTCGTTAAAAAGAAACTTTTCGGACGACCTAATAGTTGTGAATTATCAGGATGATTGATATTTACTTAAAACAAATATGAAATACGTATTATTTCTCTCCATACTTTATCCGAAATCACGAAAGATTCCTTCTCAATTTTCCGAAAATCGATATCTTCCATTACAAACAATAAAATTATTCCAAGACTACCTCCTAACTCGTAAATCATAACTCTATTGCTAGAAAAATAACAAAGTAGATAGAAACGCGCGTCATCTCTACACTTTCGAAAGGAATCACTTCGTCGATCGTCGAGCAATCCTTAAACTCCTTTTTCGCCAAGGATGTCTGTTTTTCAAAATGAAAATGAGATATTACACGGTCGTCGCTTGACAGGGAAGTAAGTCAATTTTGGAAATTCGAATGGCAATGCGGTCCAGGAGCAAGTTGAAAGCCAATCGTAAACTAATTGCAGCTAAATTCGCCCAGCGTAATTACGCGTTTTAATTTGAAGCCTCGCGAAAGTGCTCTTTCTCTCGTTCTCTTTCTTCGCTGTCGTTGTCCTGGCGTAACCAGCGTTCCTTCGTTTCTCGCGCGCTTTAAAAGGGGCTGTATTTTAAGCTAGCCAGTAATTAAAAGAATTACATCTTCGTTCGCTAAGGTAGCGAACTGTCGCGCCACCAAGACGTGGAAAATGGGATGGTCACGAATTTTAATCCTTCGTTCGTTGGCGTCTTAATTGAACACGTTCGCCACACGTAAAAATCGGGCTTATTGAATCTTAACTTGCTCTCGCTTTATATTACGAAAAATTGTATCCTAAAAATTCCTCTGCTATGAAATGTTACGATGATTGAGTCTCTTCGAGTATTGTATACTTCAAATACGAAGTAGACAGTCATACAACAAAATGTATCAGCTTTCGATATTCTGTTTACTGTTTACATGATTTTTCGATAGCACCATACAGGCCTGCAATTTTGGAATTTTCGTAGATGAAACGATATTACAAGTCATATGGAGATTTCATTTACCTTCAATCGCATAAAATACTATCAGCCTGTGGTCGGACTTAATCGTCGCATTAAACGTATTAGGACGAATTTCAAACGAAGAATTGATTTCTGACACAAAGGGCCACGGTTTCATTACGAAATGAAAGAGATGAGAATGAAAAAGATGATACGTTCGTTCGATTAACAGTCGATAATTAATATAACATGTAGGTAATTTTATTTGAACAATTCTTTTATACCGTGCCATTGCAATGAAGTTACAGAACAGTTTGCTCAGTGAATATTTAACGAGAAAATCGTTAGACGCAATTAATTGCTGTTTAAATAAGACGCTGAGACGGGTAAATATCGATGCGTGTATTAACTAAAAACACGCAACCTAAAATCCGATTTGTCTGTGACTTCGCCAAGTTGCGGCTTCCCGTAGATCTTACGGCGTACAAGCTGAAGTTCTACCTGCCTCGTCAAAACTTAATATACTGTTCACGGCCAATCAAACTTCCAGATCCACTAATACTCAAGTCAAATATTTCGCCTGAACGTTACTGCTCGCAAAACAGTATTTAGGTCTAGAGATGGCCAAATTGATTTTCCGATCATCCACCGAAAAGATTCAAACTCTCTTCCACGCTAATAATCCCAATAAACATCCACTACGCGTCGACTACATACGCACGCAACAGCACCCTGCGCTTACAGTCAGCGAATCACCTAATCATTCGGCATTCAGGCATCCTCTGTATTTCGGCGCGAGCAGTCGCAAACCGGTCGAAACGACACGGCATTATCCAGCCAGTACGATTCGCGCGACATCGAGATCGTTCTCACCCCAGCGTTCTCCAACGCGGCGAGTTCGATTTCGAGGGAGGGCATCGGTGTTCCACTCTGCTTCTTCCCCGCAGGAACCCCCTTTCTCCCCTCTTTCCACGACTGCAACCGTGCACCGTTACATGCGTATGCAAATTTATTCTGGCTATGCGTCCGTGTGCGATCCATGCTGTGTCCGGCAGAGAGTATACGTCTACACACGCGCAACTACGCGTACACCTACAGGGGCACAGCCTTCTCGCGCTTGTTGTCGGTGCAGCGTAGAGGGTCATAAATTAAATGATGTAAATGCTCTGTCCACCCTCTGTCGTAGCGAGGAGAGACGACACACGAGTTCTCTCCTTCTGTCGTTAGCTGAACGTCTCTCTCCATCTCTCTCTCTCTCTCTCTCTCTCTCTCTCTCTCTCTCTCTCTCTCTCTCTCTCTCTCTCTCTCTCTCTCTCTCTCTCTCTCTCTCTCTCTCTCTCTCTCTCTCTCTCTCTCTCTCTCTCTCTCTCTCTCTCTCTCTCTCTCTCTCTCTCTCTCTCTCTCTCTCTCTCTCTCTCTCTCTCTCTCTCTCTCTCTCTCTCTCTCTCTCTCTCTCTCTCTCTCTCTCTCTCTCTCTCTCTCTCTCTCTCTCTCTCTCTCTCTCTCTCTCTCTCTCTCTCTCTCTCTCTCTCTCTCTCTCTCTCTCTCTCTCTCTCTCTCTCTCTCTCTCTCTCTCTCTCTCTCTCTCTCTCTCTCTCTCTCTCTCTCTCTCTCTCTCTCTCTCTCTCTCTCTCTCTCTCTCTCTCTCTCTCTCTCTCTCTCTCTCTCTCTCTCTCTCTGTCTGTCTGTCTGTCTTGCTCTTGTTACATCAACCCCCGAGTGACCTGGACGATCCAGGCTAACCCCTGGCCAGACCCCTACTGACTGATTATAATTATCGGGGCGTACCCTGCGGCTCGCCTCGCATGGATGAAGAGGAAAGATAATGGTCGAGTGCCATTGATTCGGATGCGCCTAACTGCCGTCGAATTGTCGTAAGTGTTCACCGCGGGGGTGATTCTTTCGCGACTCTGATTGAATGGTACTTTGATGGATAATGCGTTGCTTGGTATGTTGTACATAGTTGGCGATAAGAGTACTTGATATATTTTACGAAAAATGATAAAAGAGCGCAAGATAAAGTGTAGCAGAAATTTATCTCTGATAAACACTTATCGTTTTACTCTACCGCGTCGATAGCTGTAGAGAAAGTACACTTTGAGAAGTGGATAAAAAATACTCGGATGATTGGATATTTTTGTTTATTTTGGACGATATATTTAATAATAAGAAATATCGACGTTTCTATTGGTTTAAACAATTAAATTCGTTGATGGTTCTCGTAATATGATATATTTTAGACATAGGTTTTTAAGACTCGGTCTTTCATAGGAAATTGATATCTTAATTTCGGGTACGTTGATCACAAAGGAAACTAGATCACGATTCTGTGTGTGTTATCGTGTAATTTTCCTCGCAGCAATGAAATACGTTGCCGTAGTTTTCGTATAGAATCTCATTAGGAGAATCGATCGTAACTAGAAACAATTGTGCGGCTGCCCACGTGCGGTCTGCCTTGCGGTGAGAATTATATCCGCTAAATATGTTTAAATGTTAGGATCTTTGTATTATTTTCAAAAGGGAAATATGTATGTAAGCGACACGTGCACGTATCAAAAGTATTTTTACAGAACGAGCTAAACAATAGAATAAACTAACGATAGAAGAAACGACGTTGCTTAGAAAACTCTTCAGTTAGAAAACATATATTGTTTCCGAAATTATCAATAAAATATTGCGAAAAATACTAAAATAAAAGAAGATAACGAAAAGAAATTTGTACAGTACTCTGAACAATTATTTGTCGATTAAACTATCTATGTTGTATCAAGTATTCCATAATGGGATACAGAAAGACGAAGAACATATAAAAAGATAAATATAGACGTGATTTTCGTATAGCTCCGCTATTAATAAAATCCGTTCTCCCCTTTTAATACTAATGTTTGCTTTCAATAAGTTTGAAGAGAGATCTGTCAGTCGTTGAGTAATGTATTCAATAAAATTCGGCAGTATGCAAATCTGAAAAGCTTTCGGCGGATCTCTCACAAATTCGACAGTGTTCCAATCCACTCTGCGATCCTGCTTTCCTTCTTTTCAATTCGATATCCGATTCATCGGAAATAACCAGCATCAACCTTTATTCAGACGCTCGCTACAAATTGCTCGTTTTCTCTGGTACTTTGCTCTAATCTTACTCGATGCGACACGCTCGTATAATATTTATACGATAATCGACTGCTTAAGTAGAATTTCGCGTTCTTATATTCTACCGTGTCGTTAAAAGTGTGCTCACTATCGAACCAACAAACAATAGATGACAAACCACTTCGTTTTTCGAATAATATTAATCTATAGATCATATATTTAATAATTTTCAAACGGTATCTCTGACAAACAATTTCTTAAAGTAATGGAATTTCGTTGTTGTAAAATGACAGTAGAATATTTTATCTACGTATGATACTTATATAAGAAAAGAAAGAATCTACCAATCAATCGAGTGTTTATATTGAAAAGTCACTGAAACACACTAATACGAAGCATTACGTTTTATCTGTAACACAATCTAGAACATCACATTTTGTTTCCCGTCGTTATACTATATTAACATTTATAATACTTCGAATAAACAAAGCATCCGTTTTGCTTACAATTAACCAAGTATTACCGCGTCAACGTTTCCTAAACCATAGTATACCACGAGCATCGCTATCAAATTCCAAAATATTACACTTAAGCAAACCATTAACCTCGATTTCGCTCGTCAGTATCAACGATCATGGCGCAACGACCACGAAAACCCGTATCAGATACATTCGTCGGCGCTAAAGCGCAGTTTCGAAACGAGTTGCCGTCGTGGCCGCTATACAAGAACACTTTTGAAACGGGCTGCGCCATAATTTCGCGAGCACGGCAACACGTCCGCTCTAGCAGGGTGCAGTTTTACCGTGGCGCAAACTAGCGTCTCGTACGTGGCGAATGACCGCTTTCATAGTGATAGACACGCAACAGGCCATCGACGTTCCCGTGTTACGTCTCAGCTTGGCGGGCTTTCACGCCTTTAACGTCGTCGTAACTCGTCGCGAAAAACTCAATTATCCGACCGCGAAATACCTGAACCGATAACGGAACGATAATGCGGCTCGAGCTCGAGTGGCTATCGATTATCGTCTCATTATCATTATCATAACCGAGATCTCGTTAAAACCGATAAAAAGTATACGGAATTAACGTGCTTCGCGTATCGATCATACGATGTATCGAGTGTTCGCTGGTGTTTGCGAAGATTGTGAATTGCGAAAGTTTCTGCAGGTTTACCGTATATAATATGCAGAGGCTTTGTGGTGAAAAGTAAAAGATTTAATTCTTCAGATGGAATTCTCCGAATAATTTGTGAAAAATGAAAGTTGGCGTTGGAGGTTCGACGATAGAGAAGAATTTGTAAGGGTAGGGATACTTGCGGTGAAATTTGTTCGAGATTTGCACATTTTTCGGCATACTTGTTACGCTACTAAAAATTACAATAATAAAGGGAAATGAGGATAGACAACTTTTTGAAAGCTTCAACGATGCAAATTTTTCAGCGAACGATAAGAGAATAGCGACGGTAGAACAATATGGAGATGTTATTTAATATTCGATAATTATGATAATAAATTCATGAATAACTTGAATCTCCAGTTACAATGGCAAGATAAAGGGAATTTTAACTAACAAGATACGTATACACGTACAAGCCAAATATTGAAGATATTTATATGAGTTTAAGAAAAATCGGAAGGAACTAAATAAATGAGAATCACTGAGAGAAGCTTCGTAAATAACACAAGCAAAGCACGTAGAAAAGGAGCAAAAATTCACAAAGAAGAAATCGCCAAAGAAATCATTAAAACCATTAAAATAAATTCAAAAAAAGAAACGAACTACGATTGCCGACTTAGTTTCGAATGCGTTCACGGTGAAGAACGACGACGCTAGTATTCGCTATCTCGCCGAGGAAAAATGGCTGCGCTGCGCGCTTTTACGCTTAAACGTCTTAAATACGCGTCGCAAAAGAATCGTCCGGTGTTGTCCCATTTCTATCTGTCGGGACGCGTCTCTCGTTTCCACCCCCTCACGTTCACAACCCCTTGCCACGCCTCCACCACTTTTATAGACCTCTCTTTCTCCCACGGAGCTTTAATCGTGCGATTAAATTACATCTCTCGCGAGGAAGACGTACTGCCGCGTGGCGGTTCACGGCAGAACGAATTTACCCTGTCTTTTACATTCGTTAAGCTTGTTCCACCGCGAAGACTTAATTAAACGACTCGGCGAGTCGCCCGTGGACCGTGTGTATTTATCCTTTGAACGGAGGGACAATTTTATGAATTACCTTCAATTATTTTCCCTCGGCGCTCTTGCAACGTACGCGAGCTACGTTTCGCGAAAGATGGTCGAATTATACTTATGTCGATTCTTGCAATTAGCCAGTAGTTGGTTCCGTGTTCAAAGAACTATGAGATTATACAATTATTAAAATTTATTACCCACGAATACAGTAGAAAATAGCGTCCTTTGTACTTGACGTCAGAGATACGACACTCTTCTAATTTTACGTCATCTTATTCCACCTATCTCCGCTACAGACTTCAAAAGAATGAAATACATAAAACTATAGAACAAATACAAAATTCCGAAACTGTAAACAATTATAAAACTTGAAAGAATGCCCAGTTGCACGCTAAGAAATATCGTCGACCATCACGAAGTTAAAGTTCGATTTAAAGCATCTTCCCTGTATCGTTCCTTCTTTATTCTCATCTGCGAAAGCTTCGTCACGCAACCCCATCGTCCGTCGACCAAACAAACGCAAAAACGCGTCTATTAACGTATCATCCTCTCCTCGGCGATCTCGCCAGACATCGTTATTAGCGTCACGCGTACTCCAAGAAGAAGCTTCTCAGAAATCCAATCGAGAAGGAAACGACGACGTCGTGCCGAGGAAGCCGAGTGGAGCTGTAGAGGGAGGCGGCGGATCGAGACGTTACCCCTCGCCCCCCCCGACGCAACTAAAATATCCCAGCAAATAACTCGAATTCTATCTGGATTTCCATCGAGCGGATCGAAGCAGGTAGGCGAGTTCGAAAGGGTGGGTAGAGTGGCGTGGAAGCGAATCGTGGAATTCGCGGTAAAAGAACGAGAAAGCCGGCTGCTTACGTATTCGATCACGTAAGTACACACCGAAGAAGGAAAAGGGAAGCAAGCGGGCGAACGATGATCGTACACGCGGCTCTGTAGAGACGTCGTTGGCGCACACATTCTCCAACAAAAAGAAGAATATGAGCGTGAACGCGCGCAAGATCGTATTGGTTTGCGCTAAGCGGCGTCGAACGGCGAGAATCAAAATCCTGGATCGCGGTGGGCAGGGTCGCGCGTGGAATTTTAAACGGTCGCGGAGACAGGGATACGCGGCTAGGGCCGGAAGCGGGAACAATTTGTACCGGTCTTTCGAAATATACGAATAATCGCGGGCCGCATGCCAATGGCGGGAAATATTTCCGGCGAAATCTCGGTGCTTTCCCGCGCTCTGTCACCGCTCGTCCTCTTGATCCTCTTCCTCTTTCGTTATTCTCATCTTTTACAATTTTTCTTCCTTTCTTTTCCTTCTTCTTTCCTTCGTCTTCGCTCGACGCTTTTTACACGCCGCGCCCCGACCAGCAATTGAATTTTAAAATTCGACACCGCGACGAATTTTATTGTTGCCGGGGAATCGTGCGAATTGATTTAACCCTTGCGCTTGCTTCTCTCTCGGCTCTCTTTCCGGAAGCGACGCTTTTTTCCTCCACACCCGGAATGCTAATTGGCCGCGATGGAACTCGGAGATTGTGTAAGTGATAATTAAGGCAAGGTGGAATTATTTGGCCCGATTCGAGGGTAATTTTTGACCGAGTGATGGTTTTTGCTCGTTTTTGCATTATCATTTAGGAACTGGGAAGATTTTCTTCTCAGTTCGTTACTTTTGCATCAATTTTGTTACACTGTTCTATGGATAAAAATAGTCTCGTTATAGTTTATTATAGTCTTAACAAAACTTCTTGAAAGGGCGCGAGCGAAAAATTAAATATTTTTACAATCCTGTAAAAGCTACTATACTTGATTCATCATCAACGAAAAAAGAAAAAAGTGGTTTTTCGAGAAAATACCTTAAATTCCTTAACTTTCGCTGTGAATTTTCCAGACAATTTCATATAAATATTCATTCGATCGACGTTGTTCGTTATTCTAATACGATACATTCATCGATATTTTCATGTATCCTCAAAATACGAGATATCGTCAACGAAATATATCGAAAAATTGTACTCCTTGGTAAAGAGTTCCTTCGCGCACCGTGAACGAGCTGTTCACAGACATCAGCTCTTTCATCCAGTAAAGATGCTGCAACTAAATTCTTTATGCACGCCAGTTACGTTACTTCGATGCACGCAGTCGTGATCGTACATCACCGGAACGCAGTCTTTCCGCCTTTCCACCTGGCTAGCGAGCGTGTTCAATAATATCTCGCCCAATTTCACCCGATCCTTTGCACGCTTTGAAAACACGCGTCTCGCTACTCTCTGATCTTCATCGTCGACACGACGCGCGCGCCGCCGGGCATCAGCCAATCCGACGTATCGATATTGAAACTTGTTCCCCCTCGTTCGAACCTACATCATCTCACCTTTCTTTTCTTTCTTCGTCTCGAGTTTGTTGAACTTTCGATTTTTTATTCTATGCAGTAAGCAACTAAATTTTAGTCACGATTTTTCCAATATTTTATCGAATATTATTATTCCTACCACTCGAAGCCAAAAATCTGCGTAAAATCACAATAACAGTATCGATCGATGTATTAATAAAAGATTAATAAAAGAAGTATTAATAAAAGTATTAATAAAAGAAATTTGGAAACATCAACGAACTACAGGCAACAACATCGAGAAATATTTTAGTGGAAAGTAGGGGAAAATATAAGGAAAACATTTTTGATAAAATTTCAAGGTGCGATCGAAGTAACAGTGATCTGAATTTCAGTATAATATACTATACGAATTTATTGAATCGCGATTAATATACGTAAGTTCATGATTGGGTTTTTTACAATTTCCTGATTATATTTCACTTTAATATATCTACTAGTATATAGAGTATAGTATTGTAAAAAGAGAAAGAGAGAGAGAGTTAGAATGAAACTATGTTCATACTTCGTTTGTACTACTTAGTAGATTCAGACTCTACTAAATTCAAACTTCTTTAGCACGCGTAGACAACAAATATCTCGCGATGTACATATTTATAATTAACATTCTACTGTACCCAATATTCCACCACATATCGTATTTTCCATAACAAAATAGGCGAAATTTTTACTTCAAAATTTTAAACTTCAAAACCCTCGCGCTGTTTACAACCGGCTCTGTCGATCAATTTTAAAACTCAATAATTACAAAAACAAAAAGACGAAAGAAAGATCAATGGAATTTGAGGATAAATTAAAAGAATCGTTCGCGCTATCGAGGATCGAGGGACAAAACTAGCCCATTTTTTACATTCAACGGACAGCAGAACGAACATTTATAGAATGTACGTGGCCAGAAATGCCTTCAGCGTTTCAGAACTCTATTATCACCCATGACGGGGTCATAAGACGAGAAGTTAGTGAGAGAGGGAGATAATACCGAAGGGAGTAAGTCGTAGTTTACACGTGAAATCCAACCAGTATGCCGACGTAATCGAAATGAGACGGGGACCCCCATGTACCCCATGGACAGGATTGATGGACAGCCGGTGGTCCGTGACGTGACCACCTGACATTCTTGTCCGATCGGGCTGACATGCCCCAGGGATCATGCATGCGAGTTTCGTGCTCACGTAGCAAAACGTCTACTCCGATTTTCCGCCATCCACCAAGTGTACAACCGAATCTGCGTACTGAAATTTCGTCTAATGTTCGTCTACCCACGTTCATATAAAGTCTTTGTGCGAGATTTTCAGTATCTTATCGATGGAAATTGTAATCGAAGACAATCTGAGTCTTCTATGACCGAAATCTTTCCTCGCTCTGTGATAAAAAATTGTCTTTTGTTAGTTACTGATAGTAGCGATACATTTTTCCGGTTGACTGTAACATAGACTCAATAGAAGATAGATATATTTAGACTCATAGAAATAATAGACTCATCAAATCAATAGACTCATAGAAAATAAATATATTTAAACTTAACAAGTTTAATTAATCAGTAACTTACAAAAAGCACAGTGTCGCGTACATCGGGTACGAAATGATCGAGGATGATCACGTTTTTACAAAGTATATTAGCTGAAAGTGACTGACATGTGAATGATTCCTATTGCCACTTCATATTAAACAAAAATCGTGAAATTGTAAATTATGTTGAAAAAAGTAAGTAAAAGTAAACAGTAGTAAGTTACGGATAATTCACTAATTCGAAGATTCTACAAATCAAATATAAACGATTCTTTTATTAAAATAACAGACATTGAAATCCTTCCAAAAATAATCCAAGATAAATAATCTGAATACTAAGTAAATCTCTAAACAAAGTCCGGCAATAAAATCCCACCGATACATCTATCGTTTCTCGATCTACGTGAAAATAGCGTACGCTTAGCCCCTTCCAAAAATCAACATCAAATCCAAAAAAAAAAACTTGTATAGTTCTGACTATAATTCCGAAAACCTGACGACTATAATTCTGAATAAACCGCAACAATAAAAATCCATCAAAATTCTTATGACCCCGAACAGCGAGGCTTTCTTTCTGGAAAAACACATTACCATCGCCAACCAGATCGCCCTTCTGCATCTCTTTCTTCGACAAATTGCTATTTCCCTGCAGCGTGTTTCGTATTTTTTACAGAGAGACAAGCAGCCAAAGGGGCTGGCCACGCGAACATTGACGCTCACATTTATTCACAGGGATTCTTGCCACGATTCACACGCATTCGGCGCGTACGCCTGTTCGTTCACACGTGCCAGGCAATTTTGCCATAACGTCGAGAAGTATGCGGCGGAGACGAGCGGGCCGAGCGTAAATCCAGCCAGGGGGCTGGCTGAGGCTTGATTTCACCGTGCGCGCGTGGAAACAACTCGAAACTCACGGAGAGAGAGACGATACTTTCGAGCGTGTACCGTTTACACGGAAATGCACGCGCGGGTGAGCGCGCGGCCGTTCGCGAGTCAGCAAACCGTGCGGAATGTCGACTGACGTAACGTCACCGAAATTGAACGGCACCCTGGCTGTCTCGCGTAATCGAAGCCTCGTTCGACTCGACGGCCACGCGTCCACAGATTGTTAAGGGGTTGCTTTCGATTCGAATATTTGCCAGTAGATTTTTATTGCCAGTAGACTGTGCGTATTTCTGCAAATTCATACTTTCTGCGAAAAAAATTGGGCTTAGGTAGAGAATGCTTTTAGCTGTTAACCCTCAGCGATGGACATATTTTTCTGGTGACAATACAACGGTGGCGACGTCCAATTTTGAGACGAATTTTAAATGTCGCCAAAAAAAAAAGAAAGAAAAAAAAAGGAAAATGGTAAAAGGATATAAAATTTGCATGCTTCGGTAATAAATTTGTATAAGCGTTAATAACCCAAAAACGAGGCTACATTTGTAACTTTAATCACATACTTTACCGCAAACATATTTTACCGCGTTTCCAGGCTATTTTAATATTTCCAGCGTGTTTGACATTTCCTGCGCAAGCATCAAAATACACGCATAACGGTGCGTGACTTTTAGAATCGAAACTCGGGCGGAACACGTTCGAAGCATTTACGAATGCGCCATTAATCAAGCCGATATTTCCCGTGTTTCAGATGTTGCAGAAGCGTCGGTGAATTTAACGTTATCGTCGCTTATAGCTTCATTTACGTACAAACACGCATAAGTGCTTGTACGTGCGTATTCGCAGATGCGACCTCCGTCCCTGTGGAATTCTAGAGCTGGTCAATGTATAGTTACATACATACGGAACATACCACCGAACCGGCAACTAGACACGAGTGTTTACCCCCCTGTGTGATCCTTACGTTGCCTGCAATTTATAGGAAAAAAGTTCTACGAGATTATTCTAACTATGCCACACACGTGTGTTTTCTAGATACACGTGTACGTTTATATATAAAACAGACGCTATCGATTCTTGTGAAAAAAATTATATTACAAATTGCGATAAATAAACTTTTTACACCTATCGCTTCGATTTTTCTTCGATATTAACTAATAGGTAACACTCGACTGATACCAACTAATTCTGCTACAGACAAGCCTTTTGTAACATGGTTAACTCGTTCCGCGTTATATCGAAATCAGGTTTCCAAGTGTGTGTTAACAGCAAGTACTTAATACTAAGGAAGACTGCAAGACCCTGGATATCTTCACCTTAAGGGATCTATGTATATAGGTAAGTCTTTAAACTTCTATCCTAAACTAAACCTGTTTGGTACACGTAGTTTGACATTGCAATTTCTCTTGGAAGATCGTCGAGCGGAACGCGTGAGCTGGAATCGGAAAGGTCAGAGGATCTCGTGGCAATGCGTCATCGAGTAGGCAAACAGGACACCGATCGAAGCGAGCGTTCCTATCCCTAGGACGACGCACACCGTACGCCACACATCGGTCGTACAATTCGTCGCTGCCGTGGGCTGTCAACGTAATTACACGTACAGGGACCATTAGACACGCGCGACGCTTACAAACGACTCAAACCACCTGCGAAATCGTCACTTTGTTCCGCAGTTAAATCATGCCAAACTCGAACGACCCTGTGTACAGATGCGTTCTACCTCGTTGCTGCAATCGATATACGACCAATGTCTAGAAATGTCTGAAAAAGGTGAAGATTATCGTCGTCGAGAATTATGATCGGAGTATAATCGAAAGATATCGTTAGAGTTCTTCTCTCTACCTTGCACGAAGATGTGTCTGACGATGAGATCTGAAACACTTGGAATCGCTTCGAACCTGTACTGTATTTTATGTGGCGGCAAATTCGAATCCCTTTGAACATGATCCGAAATTTAGAACTCTCGAAAGCTTTGATAAACGTTGAGATACATGGCCAGAAGTAAAATACAGGAAGATATTCACGCGATCGGTGTATTCGGCTAATAGAGTAGCTGAGCACGTACAGTTTAACCGATACAGTTTCCAGTTTTATAATTGTACAATTGTCCAGTTTTATAATTTTCAAAAACGTAGATAGTAGAATTATATATAAAGAAACATATAAACAAATCAAGAGCGTAATTTTTCTTTCATTTTTGCTCTTAGAACGACGGAATACCAGCTTGCAGATGTGATATGCAAATCTGAAAAATATACACATAATATGCAAATTTAATACGCAAAAGGTATAACACAAATGATACAAGAGAAATTTCTAATGAACAATTTTTTATTGGGATTACCTGTCTTTTTAGGAAATAAGAAAGTTTGCAAAAGTCTGTATTTCGGAGGTTTCAGAAATTATGTTCATCGTCTGCCACGAAAATTACATAGCTTACATACGGTCTCCATCGAGATCAAAATAAAAGTCTGTAAAACACGTTCCAGTTCCCATGGCGACACACGACCGAACAAGAAATCCATTTCCCTCGTGTGGAACACTTTCTGTGTTTCAATGAAAGGAACTGGAGATGAATTTACCGATCAACGGCTGGAGGTTTATACGGCGGCTTGTGCCTGACAGAAACATTTTCTAAGATCGATTCTCGCGAATCGCACGAAAACGAATTTCTCGTGGGCAAAACTAAAATTATATAGTAACACCGTATTGCTGCCTGTCCTATATCATAAAGATATCTTTGTGTGCAATAAATAAATATTCACCGAAGATACGATGTTTGTAAGATTTTCATATTTTATTTATTACCTAAAAATGTGGTTTAGATCACAAACACGAATAATAAATAGCGCTCACTAAAAAGACGATAAAGATCTATCTTTTTCACATAAAAACAAAAGTTACATATACCATGATTTTCCTTCCAAAATTAATCGAGTTAAATTAATGTTAAATCCTTCCGTAAGAACTCCGAAACAAAGGAAAATTAATGCTAAACACCTGGAAACAATCTTCGACGCATAACTTCAAACATTCCAAGCGTGCAGCCACGAACGATAGAACCAAAACCAATGCCAATATTCCATCAACCGCACCACCATGCTAACAACTTGGTATTGTCGCCAAATTTTTCTACGATTCTCTTCTTCCTTCGATGATTTTTCTTCAATCTCGTTTATTCTCCAACAGCAAAAGTAAAGTTGAAATTTAACCACGGCCACGGAGTATCAAAGTTTCGAGAATTTTCGCGCTGGCCAAGAGTGTCTCGGTGGTCGGTTGCAGATGCAGCTAACTGCGCTACGGGGCGTATTCATTATCGGGCCGCCGGAACCCAGGTTGCTGAGACGATTAAACAGGGAATGGGAGGATCCTCCAATGATTGGCTACACGGGGCCGATTCAATGTCTACGGCTCTATCGGTCTATCGCTCTCCCGCGGCCGTGTTACCCATCTCCGCCGTTCTATTTTATCGCGTTGCACGCTCGTCGCTAGTTAAGCGAAAAACGCGCATAGTTTGACGAATTGTTCAAAAATTCTTTCCCCTTTGCCTTTCGTTTTCTGGAAATATAAATTTGTGACGATCCTTTGAAACGAACTGTAAATTAACGCATCGAGCATGACTCTACGATTAGTTAAGCGAAAAATTCGGCTATTTCGGGAAATTGGCCAGGAATTCTTTTCGTTTTTTTTTTCCTTTTGTTTTATGGAAACGTTGGATATTCGGCGATTTTGATATGTTGGAATTGTGACGATCGTTCGAGATGTATTATGATTGATGAAACTGTGAGCTGGTATGTTTCAAGTGGTAGAACGGATTCAAGTTGAATCATTGATCGATGGCTTAGTTTTCGTATAGATAGTATTTCTGTCGATACTGTTTTTTTTTTCTTTTTTTCGGTATCGTATAATAGCAGACCGATTCTAATTTCTTTTCTACGTTTATAAATCTGTAACGAGAATAAGATGACATATCTTTATAATTACGTGTTATTTGTATCGACCAGTCCGATAGATTTCTGATAGCTGTACTTGTCTCACAAAACATTATACGTTTGTTAAAATGTTCACAGGATAGAGCAGTCATTATTGAAATTGAAAGACGATATCTAATTAAAGACAAAGCTCTACGAAAAGCTTGTCTAATACCACGATCTAGAATCGCTTGTCCACGTAGCGCCAGTTAGAACACGGAAGCTATCGCACATTGAGAACAGATAATCCGACGCAATTCGACCAAAATGTATCCACACGTCACGAGAAATGCAATTGCAGATTGACGTCAGTCAGGTGCTTCTGAAGCGTGTTCATCGTATCTCGGGTTTATAACCGACAGCTTACGAACTGATGCAGCATTCGGCTGATCTTACAGGTTGAAATTTTTCCTCGAGGAGAGTGGATTTTTCTAAGCAAATAAATTGAATTTTTCACATTTACAAATATTTAATATGGCAATTTAAAAAATAAGAAAGGAACGATTACATGTTTATTAGCGTACTGTGAAATGTTTATGTCAATTCGTGTTTTTGTAGACACTGATAAAAAAGACGAATAAAAGTATATCTTACTTTCTAATTATTATCTAACATGTATCTTATATTTGATATTTAATATACTTTTTCATATTTGTAGATATTTACAAATTTATATTTGTCACGAATGTACAAATATTCACGGTTTAGTTATTGCACGTACGCTGATAATATTGGATCAAGAATATTGGAAAAAGTAGATCATTTTGTAGATTATTGGTCTAAGAGAAATGGCAGAAGTGAACATCTACTGGATGAAAAGCGATATCTATTCTTCGTTATAGGGAAAAATGCAATAGACGATCAACTTGCCACCAATTCTATAAAAGTATCAATTATTTTTATATCGCTATAATTCTTCGTTTAAACCATTTACCTTCCCCTATGCACGAAACGTAAAAGTTGCTACAAAAACGAATCGATCGGGCTACCACAAGTTTAACTTCAGCATCATCGAATTAATGCAATTTTCAACACTGATCGATTCCTCTGTAGCCAGTAACAAGTTCAATGGTAATTGCAATCGCGACAAACGCTTGCAACAACCGAGCGCTCGTAAATGATAATGTATCCGTTGCACTGGGACGCAAAATTACACGAAACGATACGATACCTCCATTTTCCTTTTGAAAGAATTTAACCCCTTGGCATCGAATGACGAGTCTGACTCGTCATGGTAATTTAATCCCTTGGTCTCATATCACGAGTCTGACTCGTCACAGTAATTTAACCCTTTGGTGTCAAATAACGAACGCAGATCTTTATACTTATAGTAAATTTAAAATTGCAAAAAGTGCACGAAATATCCAAAGTATAATACTTGTTACAACAATCAGTGGATTAAACAAATTCCTATTTAAATTTCATTCGTTTGACTAGATTCGTCAAAGAACGAATTTGCTTGAAAATCTGCGATTTAGTAATAACGTTACGTACAAGGTATACAATGACGAACTAATCTCGACTAAATTGTGCATCAAGGAACACGTATACTTCCGCGTGGACACGTCGAAGAGAATGTTGTTCGCGCGTGTGCAGTGAAAACTGTTCGTGACTTATAGTTGTACGCGTGGCCCGTTACCTTCGCTTAAGCCAACACACTCGTACCTACACGCGAATCTCCACGTTGCATAAATCCTGTCCCGATGATATACGACCGTAAGGCTTCCAACTATTTGCCGGACCAGTCTGGCTTGGCACTTGCGTGTACCTAATGCGCATACACGCGAACCCTCGTGACAACTGGCCAACCCTCCATTTTCGATTTTCAACCTGCGACTCGCTCTAAAAGCGGTCCTAGACTTTGCACTCTATTTTTATCGGTTTCAATTATATTCGATATTATGATTATATTTTTTATACAATTATATAATTATAATACTGTAATTATAATCTCAGGAATTTGTAATTTGTCACAACAGTTCGAAGCGTCGTGCAGTTAAGCGTGAGAATCTGACCGAAAGTTACTCGAAGCGGTTGTATTCGATTAGCTAAAGATCTCTACGGAAATCTATATTAATTCATATATTTATATTAATTATTAAATATCTTTCATTCGCGAAAGCGTACAAAATACTAGATTTCTAAATATACCGAGAATGTCATGCAGCTTAAGTTTTCGAATTATCCTGAATTTCAAACATACTGATTACTATACTGCGGATTTGTATGCAAATTCCTATGTTTGAGAATATAATTAAAAAAGTAGAACCTCCGTAGAAAATCGTTTTACCTACTAACGATAAGTAGCGAAGAAAATTCTATAGTACGCTGAATATTTTACCTACTTTTTCGTATTACGTACATTCCATGCAAATTCTTAAAAATTTCCTACGAACGCATCACAATTCGTAGGCTGTTAATCGCAATAATTCCTAAATTAATCTCATCGCGATAGAAATCAACCATTGTATCCACATATTTATCACAAAAGCACATTCATAGAGAGGACAATAGTAGCTCATCCACGAAGCTTCGATTTATCCAGTATATCTGGGTATTAGCCGAGGTAGGATAAGAAATCGAGATAGTTGGAGGCGCGAAGCGAGCAAGAACGGTGGAAATGGTAGAAACTCAGGAGGATGGGGATGTTAACGACAGACGAAAGTCCGAACCGAAACGAAACGGAACGGAACGATATCCCCCTTCTCTTTCTCTATGGTGCAGCCGTTTTTTCCGTCTGGCAGCCGTTTTCTTTTTCCTCCTGACGATCGAGCCTCGTTAACTTCGCTCTCCTCGTCCCACTCGACGAGACTTTCGTAACCATGGGGCCATTTACATGTAAATGCCTCTTACCAACGGACATTTCCTCGAGCCTTTTCCAGCATTGGTATCAACGCAGTGTCTCTCGTTCCGTTTCTTCTCTCTCTCTCTCTCTCTTTCTTTGCCTCTTTTTTTATACATATATACAATCGTCCTTTTTTTCCGACGCTCTTTGTCGAGCACTTGCTTCGTTTCGCTTACAAAAGCTTCGGTAATTAAGTAGATATCACGCTTGGACGTTTCTGGAGGGAGAAGAGGACCTAGAAATCGTGCTCGAACGAGAAAAAAGGAGAGGAAAATGAAAAGAGAAGAAGGAGCAGCGCCTACGAAAGTGCTCTTCGTCGAAACAATCGCTTTAATCAAGATGTAGACCGGCGGTGGCTCGTTCGATTCCAAAAGAAATCTTCTGCAGGATCTCTCGAGATGACGGCAGCTGCCGACAAAAGTCAAGGGTTGCGTCGATTCGATGAAATATGCATTCGTGAAACAACGCGGCGAACCTCTTATTTGCTCACCTTCTCTTCTTCTCTATTTCTCTTTCTCCCTTTCTCTCTATTTGCTTTTCACGTTTACCGTTTTAACTTTTTGCATCGTGCGATTAAGGTGTCCATGGAGAAGGAACGCGAGTGTCCTTTGACAAGAAACGAACAGATTATCTGCTCCGTAGAGTAGCGTGTTTCATAAGAACTAGGTAACTTATCTATGTCTAAGACTGTTCTTTTATATGTCTGTTATAAAAAGTGACAATTGGTGGAGCGGTTTGTGAGAACGTATACAGACATTAATCATAATCCGCGATTATCAACCGATGTGCGGCAATGTTTCTTAAAACATGCAATACCTAAGTATTTGATCGATGACGCTGACCTCTTTTCCTTGGGGATTGTCAAATAACAACAATAGTCATCCAATGCGAACGTCTTGAATCAAATACGATATATTTTCTCGCGTT